AACACTTAAAAGCATTTAACTGACAGCAGCTTTTAATGGTTTTATTAATAATCCAAATGCTGTGTGTGCGTGTGCAAGACAGAGAGTGCTACAGATAGATAGTTATATATTACAGATGCACACACACCCACAGTTATATATTATACATACAAAAGAAATTTAATAAGTGAGCCAAAAATTGAGTTATTTAGAACAGCTCAAACTGGTTTTCATAAAGCATACTTATAAATAAAATACTAAAATATTTTCAAACTTTTATATACTATTCTTTTTTATTTTATTTTTTTAATATCTTGAAGCATTGGCTCAACAAGATTCATCTACAAGTAGAATATATCTTATATATAAAGTACAGTGTATGTGTGTGCATGTCCAAGCAGCTCCTCTGCTCCCACTGGTCCAATTTCAATGATTCATAGCTCATTCAAAAGCTCTAGAAAAGTTAACCGTAGGGAACAGTTTTCGTTAAGCTCAGATTCATGGTTGCCAGATTATGCGAGGTTAAAAATATACATTAATATATTATACTAGCCATTATCATTGCTTTCATGATTCAAGGTGAGTAACTCTTATTTTCCTTTTGTATCCAAAGTTGCAGTGCACGTTTTATTATAAACTAGCTTAGAAGCTGCCCTATAGGTGGCATTTAAGCTAGCTCCTGTGCAGGACTCTTGGTTTGGCCATTATCACAATATCTAGGGAGGAGTAGATGCAATAGGCATCAATAAACTACAGAAGAACCCAAAATTGATTACTGCATTTGAGTATTGAATTAATGTTTAAGCTTATCTTTTAAAAGTTCAAATGATAATTCTTCTGCTGCCACTTAATTTAAAGACAATTTGATGTATGTAGATCCTTATTTTGCATACAAACAATTATTTTTATTTCATGGATGACAGAACAGGGGATATAAGATAAAATTAATATAGTGTAAAGATGGGAAAATAGAAATTAGAATTAGTTATACAATCAACATTCGAAGAGTTAGAGAAACATAATAACTAATTAAGTAAAACCTATATTATAGAATCTATATGAATAAATGCGAAATTGGAGCTCAATTCTGCCACAAATTCTGAGATTAAAAAGCTCCAACTCTATAGTAATTTGGTATTTACTCAACCCCACCACAAAGTTGCATTGTGACAAAATTTGGCTTAATGTGGGGCACCCAAGCGCATACACCTGGGCAGGAACAAAAATTCCGAGCTCCCACAACCATTGGTTGCACTGGCCTTGGTGCAAGCGCCAATCACTCTCTGATGCAATGAGAGGGCGCAGCCTTGGGCAGCTGTTCCCCAGGGCTGGGCATCTCTCAGTATAATTTTCCTCAGTTGCAACTATCCTTCCATGGAGCTGCAACTGAGGGGTGATAATAAATGTGTTGCAAATTACTTGATAGTAAATTTCACACGGTATTTACACTGTCCCTCCACTAGGACGAGATGTGACACAAGGTCATTTTTAGGTGGGGACCCAAGCGCATACGCCCGGGACAGGAACAAAAATTTGCCTCAGCCCCCGCACCAATCCCTCCCTCTGGTGCAATAGGAGGGCTCAGCCAGCTGTTCCCCAGGGCTGGGCACCTCTTCAGTATGATTTTCTTCAGTTGCCCCTCTGTTCTGCCCAAAGACAGAGACACAACTGAGAGATAAGTAAACGTGAACTTACTCAAAAAGAGTAATTTACACATGTTATTTATTTGACCCCCCACCGAGTCAGGTTGTGACACAAGGTCGGTTTTTAATGTGGGGACCTGAGTGTCTTCACTTGGGCCGCTGGTCATAGCTTGTCCAATCTGGTCAGAGCTGGTCTAAGCTAGTCAGAGCTGGTCAGAGCCAGTTCAAGCTAGTCATAGACGTGATACTACCAGTGCAGGGACAGATCCCTGTGACCAGTAAGTATCCAAATGTGTATACCCCTCAGAGGAATTTACAATATTTATTTCTGTGAAATTTTAGAAAATGTGGCACAAGGCCTAAAAAAAAGGGGATGGGAAAAAGGATGGTCTTCATCTGTCTTAATTTTAAACTTAGCTAGCCACAAGCACTGACCCAAGCATACAAACAATATTCCTAACACCAAAACAACACATTCTTACTAGCCTTTCTTACTACATCCACCATAATACCTCATTGTCTCAATGAAAATCCTAAATAGTTCCCATATGTACAAATCATCGTATGTGGAGAGAGGAATAAAACAAATTAAAGAGATCCCCAACGAGTATATACAATATGAATTAATCCATTTACAAGAAACTAAACAAAATCATTATTAGTAATAAAACCCCCAACAATACAAAATGTGGCAGAAATATCAGTACACTAGACGAAATCAATAGAGGCCTATAAAAAAACATTCATTCATGCCTAGCACTCACACAGACACGCACTCATCCAAATACAACAACAGAAAATGAAAAACACACAGGCAAAAAAGACGAAAGTCGCCTCGCATCCACCAGAGAACTGACATCACTGACCACCTAACGAGAGAGGGGATGGGGAATTAAACTAAAGAAAAAATATGGACAGAAATAAAAGGGGCCAATGAGCAGACACACCCTAGTTAACTGGAAAAAAAGGAAAAAACTAAAGAGAGGAATTTACACGGTGTTTACTCATTCCCCCACCAGAATGAGATGTGACACAAGGTCGTTTTAAAGTGGGGACCCAAGTGGGTACACTCGGGCAAGGGACAAAATTCCCCACAGCCCTCGCAACCTTTGGTTGTGCTGTCCTCGGTGCGAGCACTGATCCCTTCCTCTTGTACAATAAGAGGGCACGGCCTCAGGCAGCTGTTCCCCAGGGCTGGGCACCTCTCAGTATAATTTTCTCAGTTGTCCCTCTGTCCTTTGACAGAGAAGCCCGTGAGCGCACTCTGTCCAAGGACACAGACCCAACTGAGAGATGACAAGTCATGCAAAATCCCCCAAAGGAGGAATTTACATGCAAAAAGCTCAATATCTGTATTGTATATTATCTACTAGGTAATATCACTCTTCAGGTTTAACTAATTTGCATATTGATTTTAAAAAAAGTTTATTTCATTAATTGTCCTTCATTACTGGTCTTATATTCGAAGATTGTCTTGATTTTCACATCAAAAATAGTTCTGTTTAGGAATATCATCTTATATATCTTACTTATTATAAAACGCAGATTGTGTGTGTGTGTGTGTGACGTTTATATATTGGATCGGATTTCCTACATTTTTCAACCGATTTCAACAAAACTTCACAGGACTACATAAAATTACCTTGTGGTAGTTCTAACAGCACCAAAAATGGGAAAATATAATTGTTTTTGCACAAAATCAATTTGAAAACACGATTAAGAGACATCGTGAAAATGGAAGGGGACAACTCACATCGGGTTGTTTGTGTGTGTGGGTTCCTTTAAATATGGGAGTGGATTTCCTATATTTTTCAGCCGATAAAACAAAACTTCACTATCTTTTTTTTTTTTTTGGCAGGTAGTGTTTCTTATTCTCTTGCACACTTTTTTCTTTATTTTTAACATTAAGAATGCTTTAAAAATTCCATTTACAAGACAATTATTTATAATAAAATTCTATTCAATTGGGAGACTCATAATGATTGAAAACAATGTTTTTGTTTGAGTTTGACCAATTCATAAAAAAAAAAAAAAAAAAACTAATTAAGACATGTGTGTCTGTCAACCTTAAACAATAATCTGACGATCTCTACTGATTGTACGAATACAAACATCAGAATAAATTCTTTATCTTTAGGGAAAGATAATGAAATCTAAACATACACAAGTCCTAACTAAAAATAATAACCGGAATGGGAAACTACTTTAAATACACATGGTGTCCAATTTTTTTACTGTATTCAATAAGTAAAAATCATAAATTTTAAAAGATTATTATTACAGAAAGGCTACTAAATGAATAAGATTTGTTAGATCATAATTAATAAACCCAAATAAAGTTAATATTTTTTGTATTAGAAACAACGAGTGGAAAATATATTCAAATCAGAATTCTAATTATGAATCACCACAAGCAAAATATGCAATTCTTTTTACTGTATTCAATAAGTAAAAATCATAAATTGTAAAACTAAAAGATTACAGAAAGGCTATCTACATTTTTTCAACCGATTTCAACAAAACTTCGTTTTTTTTGGCATGTAGTGTTTCTTATTCTCTTGCACACTTTTCTTTATTTTTACATTCAGAATGCTTTAAAAATTCCATTTACAAGATAATTGTTTATAAAATTATTCTATTCAATCGGGAGGCTCATAACGATTGAAAACAATGTTTTTGTTTGGGTTTGACTAATTCGTAAAAAAAAAAAAAAAAAAAAAAAAACTAATTAAGACATGCGTGTCCATCAACCTTAAACAATCTTTTTCAATTTTATTTTTCAGTCTTTATGATGGTGGATACTTGATCTATCTCTTACTGTTATATCCCCGGGCAATGCCGGGCTCTACTGCTAGTTGCAGATAAAACTTTCCTTAACAAGCCAATTTATGAATGAAATTGACATTTAAAATGCTTGCTTCAAAGATTTCACATAGTAAATATATCTTAATTTGCAAAGCAATAGTGAGTTGGTGAAACCTGTTAGTATATTATATCTCATTGAACAAAGTCGGGGGGAAAATAATAATAAGAAGAAAGTCCTTATCAAGATATTTCGTAGCAAATCCCCTACATACATATGCTTAAGTAAGAAAGAATATGTTAAATAATATATGATATTAAAAGTACTAACAGCAGCTTTCTATCATAAAGTAAATACATTTTAAAGTCCAAGTTAGTTTATTAAGTGCCAATATCAAGAAGAGATTCCAAGTTCAATAATAGAAGATTCTCGTATAATCTCTAATCCACTACATCTTTGAGAGTAGTTGAAAGATAAACTCAAAAATAAATAAGTATTAAATTTCTTATAAACAATACTTGGATTATTTCAGCCATAAATTCTGTATTTTAAGAATTTAAGAAGTTTTTACTTACAAATCATAATGCTGGTTCCATTTTGGATCAAGTGTGTTTTTGCAAGTATCTGTGGAATGGCATTGACCAGAGCCATCAACACTAATCTTAGCAAACGGATCAGGTAATCCTGAAAAGAGAATAAAAAAAAACAAAAATTAAGTAATTTTATGAAGAATTTCACCAATAATTAGCAATTCAACTTGGAATAAAGCACAAAAAAAATATAGAAAATTAATAAGAAACTATAATATAAAAAGTTGATTTTGAAAAAAATCCTTTTTGTCTTACAATCCTCCATCATAATTCTTATTTTATATTCAAACTAGCCTAGTATCCATAAAAAATGGTGAGATTATTTACATATAGATTGACACTATGATTAGAATGTAGTATTTGTGCATGAAAATGTTTCCCATTGTTGCATCTACCATTTTCTTCTTGTCACTATTACACTGTCGTAATATCCCCTCTAGCCAATAGTAATTGTATTTATTGGCTTGCTTTCTGATCACACCAAGTAGCAAAGTCAAAATCCACAACTGATATCATCTGTTTGCAACTAGTTTTGACATCCTAAATGAGGCTCTCAGAATACCTGAAAGCTTTAACTGACAACTTGTAGTTGTGATAATATCAAAAAACACATGACAATCATTTAAAGCATGAAACAAACTCACTATGCATAGTTGATTTCTATGTTCACACTACTTGTGTGTGTGCACACACACACACACACACACTGTGAAATGAGCTAAAGTTCCAAGCCAACTGGTGCATGTAACATGTCAAGGCAAGCCAAGAAAGACACAGGAAAGCTTCCTCTCCTGATGCAACAATCAGCATTTCTTGCTACACTTACAATCACATCTGCACATCTGACTTCATCCTCAGAAGTCAGATGCATGGCCATCAATGTTGATTGTGTAACAAACATCTTCCTTGGATTCTGACAGACCACCATGAATGAAAGACATCAGTGTATAAATCAAATAATTTTTATTGTTTAGAAGTGAAAGCATGAAGTCAAAAAAGGGGCCATATACAGATGAAACCTTACTTCCCCAACTCAAGAATTTTTAAAAATAAATTATGCTTACTTATTTCCTCTATAACTCATTTCAAAATCTACAAAGTTTTTACAAACTTACCATGTGCAGAAAACAAAGGTAAGCGACAGTAACAAAATGGAATTATGACTAAGGATGATTAGTTGAATAAAAAAATTAAAAAATTGAGCCACCTTCCATAAATCACTGGACACAGCATACGATAAACATTAAACATGTACTGCTAAAGTGGAATGACATTTCATACAAAAGAGGAAATAATCTAAAATAAGGTTAGGATTAGAAAGAAAATTAAAACAATTACTCTGACAAATCATAGAAATGTGCATAGGATGGTAATGTGCACAGTAAAGTGCAAAGTATATCACATATCCCTTCTGCTACGAACATTCATTCCCCCACCCTGACCTGACTGACTAATAAACAACAATAGACAAAACCAAGTTGCTGACCAAAATGTCAGCAGAGACAGATTAGAGCAGCTGGAGAGGCAGACAGCAAGAAGATTTCTTATCAATGTAACAGATCTTGTCAAAAATGAGCTACATATGTGCATTTCATGTTAACATTGCGTTATTAAGTATTTATGTTGTTTTATGTAACCTTAACACAGCTGCAAATGATTTGACTTTGAATGTTTCATTAACATTTGCATTAATAATATTCTCTTAAAAACATCAATATTTAAAATTCTTCAGATCTTAATTTGTCTGATTCAGGAAAGAATAGAAATAAATTTGGGTTAAACATATCTTAATCTTTTACTGATTTTCAATGATTTAAAATTGGTTTATAATAATCTACAATATATGTTGTTAAATCTAACAATACTATTGAAGTTATTACAGTTATAGAAATATTTTATCAGACTCTCTAGAATAAATTAATTTTCTAAAAAACAATCATAACATCATAGAACTTGTTTTATGGTATAAGCTACACATTACAATTCTAATCTTGGTTGTCATAATCACATATGCATGATGATGTTCTTTAAAAATAAAATAAAATAAAAAGATTAGGGGCAAAGACTCAAAGATTACCTTACCTAATTACACTACTAGTAAAATAAAATCATCTATTCTTGTTCAGTTGAAGAGATAGATGAGTGACATCAGGATTAAAGTTCCAAATTTCCACCAATAAGTTGTCCTACATTGAACATATGGTACAGCAGTAGATGAGAGTTGTTTAAGTAAATCAAATTACCTGACAACTTTGAGTTCAATCAGTTTTAATATATGGGGGGGGGGGACCTAGTTCAGTGGAAGAGACAAGGAATATATCAAAAAAGAATGAATTGACCCGAGAAATCCTCTAGTCTAGACAGTGGAAAGAGAGCAAGCTATCTCTGTGAATTGAATAAAGTGTTTGTCTTAAAAATTCTCAGAAAGTGATTATTAGCACCTGAAGAATGCTAAAATTTTGTGGCAATAACAAAGCTAGACATTCTCTGTCAGAATTCAATAACATAAAAAAATGACACAAAACTGAATAATTTGTTTGACACAATCATGTTAACCAAGCTAGAGTTAGGCTATATTTGTTTAATAGATTGAAAGAAAAGGCCATATGTACAGTGGCTTGTGAACTTATAGACTATAAATACAAAGAAATATTTTGTATTTAACACTACATGTCTACAGATAACATTTTAATGTTAGACTAACATTTTAAGTTGTTTTTATCCAGGAAATCTTAGAAATGTGGAAATCAAGGATTATCTAACATTTGTGGACAGTTTGTAAAAATATTTTCATACAGAAAGTGATATAGAAGCCCAAAATTAATGGAACCCAATCACTAACCCCCAGATTACTAAATATAGAAGTAACTTTAGTTTTTGAAAAATATATTATACAAATTGAGGACAAGCAAAAACTCATTTACAGTAATATGTGCATTTATTATTATAAGTTTTAAAACAAGTAATGTGTTTGAATTGTACAAGAAAGTTAAGCATGGTGCATATATTTCCAGAAAATTAAATTACAAAATCTTACAAATTACAAATGTAAAATTTAAAGAAAGAAAAAAAAAAAAAAGCTATTGATAACTGTTGCTTAGGGTGTGTGTGTGTGTGGGGGGGGTTCTATTTCAAAAACAGATATGTATGTACTTGATACAAGGTAGATGTCTTTTGTAACTAGAGATAATCAAGAGGATTAAAAAGAAAAATATCCCGAGTGAAAATCTGAAGGTAGGTCACAGCTGTGAGAGAGAATGTAATTAGTGGCAAAATCTGAAAAGATAAAAATGAACAACAGCAACATTTGCAATGGGAACATTCTATCCTGTCCTGTTCATATCAGTTAAGTGAATCAATTCAGTAAAGTTGAAGAGAGAAAGGATAAGTGGTGAATAATATTTCTATATTAAAATTTGCATCTAGAGAATATTTCAAATTTAGAAACTCAAGTCAATTATTCAATTCCCTACTTGTTTCCCAGTGAATGACATTTACAATTGTGGCATTTTAAAAAAATGACATGAAAATTAGCAGTGAATAGCTTCAGAGAATAACTACAGACATTAAAGTAGACTAAAAAAAATTGATCCACTTTTGACATTGAGAGAAAATGAAAATAAATTTCACTTCAAAGTAAATATTAAACTAAAACTGCTTGTATAATAATAACTGGTTTAAGTCTATTGATATATTTTTTACTGTACAAATGCCTATCACATTAAAATTTTAAAAGTTTTATTTTGGGCAGTAGATATTTATTAGAAAAATAAAAGGAATACATTTAAAAATACATAAAACAGACAAAAATCACTAGTTAAAAAAGAGGAACTCATCCTGAGAATTACAAGCAGAGGAGTATATATTATCATAGAGTACTTGAATTGGAAGGGTGGGAGGTGCATCCACAGAGATTTTTATTTTCGTCACAATTGTAACAAAGAGAAATTGGCAAAAGAGAAAACTTTAAACATAAAAGAAATTTTGTAGCCATTTACTTTGCATTTAAAACACCTTGTGTCAGGTTGTACCTATAAAAATAAGTCTTCTACACACAAAATTAATTACAGACTTCTTTTTTCCATTCTGAATAGTAGAAAAGTGTGTCTATACAAATATATTTTTTTTAAATTTCTTCTGCAGAAACAAGAATATCAAAAAAGTCCAAATCATGACATACTTTGTTGTCATATTGAAACTCAAATACAGAAAGATGTACTGTGCCAGAATTATAAGTGCAGGAGTGGGGGGAGGATAGGAAGTAAGACAAATGACTGACCTTAAAGATTTAAGGAGATTAACAAAAGACAAAGGGCATCATTTGTTTAACATTCTGAACACAATGTATTTGTGGCACTCTGTCATACTAAATACCAGAGGGCAACAAAGATTTTGGAGTTTAATACACCGTCCAGAAATTTAAAAAAAATGAAAATTTTTAGCAAAATTTGTTTAAAAACAGAGTTCAGTTTTTTATAAGATATTTTTAACTTATTTTTAAATGTTTTCTGCATGATAGTAAATTGTATTAATTTTAAGATATATTTTTAAACTAGCTTAAAGGCCGCTTTATTAGGCAGCATTTAAGCTAACACCTGTGGAGGGTCCTTGATTGGGCCTTTATCACAATAGGTAGGGAAGGGTAGATGCAATAGGCAGCAATAAACTAAAGAAGAACTCAAAATTGATTGCTGCATTTAAGTATTGCATTAGTATTTAAGTTTACCTTTTAAAAGTTCAATGATAATTCTTTTGCCGACACTTAATTTAAAGAGAATTTGATGTACTTAGGTCCTTACTTTCTGTACAAACAATTATTTTTATTTCATGTTTGACTTTCGCTGGATTTTCAAATTAATTTTGATTATTCCCAAATTTATTTCCAAGATATAAAAATTTTTATACAAAAAATTAAAAGTTGAAAAAGTGTGACAGTGACACACTGACATTTGCATTTATTATATAGAAGACAAACTAAATAGTAATAAAAAAATGGTACAAAAGTCAATAGTTTTTGTATTAACAAAGCATTATTTAGCTAAATGTTAAAAACATATGTCCGCACTTTTTATCTTCCAAACTTAAGAGACAAAT